CACATTCCTTTCCCTTTATATACACATCCACATGACTTATGTTTCTTCCGTTTTTCACGTTCTTCTCTTTCAAGTAGATTGAATCTGTGTATTTAAAAATTTCAATGGTATTAAATCTGAACGATTGTATTGGACCTCGTAATGGACAAATATAAAACCGTTCAAACCCCAATATCCATGACATGGTGTCAGTACTTAGACTCACGACCAGCATATTGTCGTAACTTTCTTCTCTCACAAGTTTCAGTAAATAAGCATCATTAGCATTGTAAGGTAATAAACATGTGCTTTTACTCACAATTCTCCCATTTCTAAATTTATGTGTCTTCTCCCCTCTCATTGTCTCAGAGATCCCATTTGTTGTCTGACTCACAAAATCAAAGAGACCGACTATTGGTCGTGTGACAAGACCAGAAACCCCTTTCACAACACCTCCTAAGAAGCCAAACAAACCTTCGTTCACTATGCCATTCACAGGCTGGGCAACCACACCAGTAACACCATCCCACACTCCCCATCCCAATGAATAAAATCCTTTTCTGAGTCCATCAAACACACCACTTGCCTTCTTTTGTTGATTTCGACTTTTAATATACTCCTCATCAAAACTGAACGACGCAACAACATTTGACGCCGTTCGTGTGATTGAAGAAACACTGGCCGCGGTGCCATGTGTCGCATATTTCGTAAATGATGAAATCCCGCTTACCACCCCCTTTCCAAATGATCCAACAGACACTGTTAATCCTTGTGCGGGTTCATAAACCAAGTAATAACAAGCAGAGGATAGATCTTGAAGCAACCCTCGAGGGTTTCCTAAAAACGAGGAAGATGTCAGTAAAAGAATGGTCTGATTGATAATTTGTGTGTAGTAATGCTCGACAAAGATCTGTTTGAGTGCGTTTAAGTCACCGGTGACGTTGTCCGCAGCAACAGTTGTTAGCACCATTGTCGACTCGTTGATGTTGACTATAGAAGACCCCAAAGCGTGAAGGAGTGCGGTGATGTTGTTGTATGGGATAAACAGCAATTCCGACGGATGGAGATTGATTGTGAGAACAACAACAATCGTTTGCAGCACTAAACTGCTAATGAAAGTATAATACTTTGATGGCACAAGAGGAATACGTTTTATTGAAGGTTCATCATTTGTAGTTGCAAACGTTGTGAAAAGGGTCGAGAAGTCAGACATGCTGTAATAGAGTGAAAAGAGACGCTTAACCCAAGAACCGTCTATAACCAAATTGATGGGTTGTATCAACACGTTAATAAGAGGGAAGTATAAAAATGTTTCATCCGTGTTGCTTTGTAAGACTTGAAAGGAAACATGAACAGCCGGTTTGTTGCTTTTTGGTATTGAAAAAAGGACATCGTTGTTATTTGGGTAGACTTCGTTGTCCAGTTGAAGTGAATCAATATTGAAAGAAACTTCCCCATAAACACTGTTGATGATCACATCAAGTGTTACGTTGTTCATTGTAAAGTAACACAACTCTTCTCTGTTTTGATCGATTAAATCGACACCAATCCCTTTTATATGCAAATCCAAGTTAATGACCGGTACGATAATTTCATTTGTCGTGTTCTTGACATCAAACCCCATCCATCTCTCCGTCATTTTTTCACGAGTGATTGTGTAAAGTGGACATTCTTCATACGTCTTTGAGAGACTTGAAGTAAACACAAGTGTCATAATTCCTCTGATAATGAACGTGTAGCAGAAGTACATCCTATCTTCATACATATATTCCCCCACAAATTCAGGCCTTTCCAAAGATATTTCAAATTGTTTACCAATGAATGGCGTTGAAACTATTATGCTCTTTATGTTTGACACACCGGGAGAACTAATAACCTTCACAGAATGTTCTGGGACAGTTACATGTCGGACCAAGCCAGTTTTAATAGACACCCCATACACAACTTTATAATTCGTCTCATTCACAATTTTGTACTTACATTTGTTGACTGTTTCATCCTCGAAAATAATACAATAAGTGTTGGTGTTTTCACTTTCATTTCGCTTTGCTTTATCTATGGCGTTGTCATTAGAAAAGTTCCTCACACTCATTAAAACGTCCTTTGGTTGTTCGCCAAGTAATTCAAAGGCAGATAACCCAACAACACTTCCCGATACACAAGATACTGGCTCCGTCCATGGGCCATCTGGTCCATACCCAACACCAAACGAGGGAACACAGTCTGTAGTATCTCCATTGTTGTTACTCCCAGGCAGAACTAACGGCTGTGGTTCTTCCTCTGCTTTCATTGATGAAAATCCAATTGACCTATTCCCAACACTGAGATATATAAAAGACTTTGTTAAGTTCGCAACAAAGTATGAGTGTGTTATTATAATGGTATTCACACCTTTAAACTCTTTTGAAGACGATAGTTCCAAATGAACGAAATAACACTCTTTCCCTTTAATTTTCAAATCGCCTGTTGTGATGGACTTCGAAGGCAAAGAATCTGAAACTGCGTCTTTGACTTTGATCTTTAAGTCAGACGCCCCGAGCGCCAAATCAAATTTACAATTTGGTGAGGTTCCAAGATCGAAAGTGTCATTTCCGATAATCAAAGAAAGTTGATAACCCAATTGGTTAACAACTATATACTGACTATCTGCTATTATCTCGTTGTTTTCTTTCCTCAAACGAAGTTTCATTTTGTTGTCCAAAGTAATAAAATTGACATCATTGTCTTTCATATCCGTGTTTATCGCCTTCTTGCCACTTTCATAAACAAGTGAAAAAAGTGTGATGTTTGCTTTTAAAGTCTTGTAAGTGGTGTTTGGTTTGATAATCACGCACAATGGAAGTTCATTTAAATTTGGTTCAAACTTGAGTAACACATCCTTTGTCAATCTGTTGGTGAACACAAAGTTGTAGTCAACTTTAATTTTGAACTCCGGGCAGTTGCCGTCTTTGGTTTCATGCATTGCCTTTTCACATGTTATTTTCACGCAATTTTTGCAGTCCGGTTTTAAATATTGATCCACATAATCATTCACCAGATCATCCATAGACAATTCAAAATATTCGTTGCCGATATTAATCTTCAGATTTTGTTTGACAAAGCTCTGTGGAATCGATTGAGTAGTTTTTGGTGCCACAGAAATACACTCAACTCGTTCTGTCCTCTTTAATAATATGTCAAGAGGAACATCCAAGTTGTTTTCCACACTTTTGCAAGACTCCAAATAAACCGTTTTCGATCCATCATCACTGTATTCCATTCGGCTCAGGAAGTACACTTTGTTCTTTAGAACATGGATTTGTGAAAAAGTGGTGTTAATTGGCATTTTCACTAATTCGTCTGCACCCGGAATTTTCAATACAATTTCATTCATTTGTTTCCGTGTGTTCTCACTGCTCAAGACGACTGGTGTGTTTGGTATCAACTCAAACATGTTGTCTGCTGATACCCCGGCTTTTATTGTAACTTCATTGGGAAGAGTCAAACAGTTTATCACAGTAAGGTTTAGGCCTTGCTCAAAATCAGTGATCTTTTCGTTCTCTTTGAGTTTCTTAAATAAGAGACAAGCGTTGTAAAGTACTTCTTTAGTGATACTCAATTCGATTCTGTCTTCAAATCCAATAGTCGGGTATATGCACAACCTCTCCTCTCCCATCACATTCCCTTGGACAACCCGAATTAAAACATTTGTTTGTAACGGTTGTAAAACCTCTTCGTATTCTCCAAAGTGTTCGTTAAACATATCAGCGGATAGACCCGCATTTAACGCCAAAGTAACATCCGTTTTGTTTCCAAACAACAAGAGTGCAAACTTCCGCATTTTTCCACTGAAAAGTGGCCAATGAAGGATTGGATGACCAACACTGAATTCAAAACCATCGAAAAATATTGAGACGTCAAATGTAACAATGGAGTTGGTCTTTTTCTTTCGTGAAACTTTGAGAATCGTTGATAACGTGGTGTTGTTCCTTTCCGTGGTTTTTTCCGTGTTTTGCGTTAGTCGGCTTTTAACGTCTTCAATCAATTTTTTGACGATACGTATTCCATTTATCACGATTTTCAAGTCGTCGAAGTTCATGTTGATTTTCCCTGGGAGACCAAACACTTTTAAGACGTGTTTTGTCTCAAATTGTTCGGAGTCCATTGAGCCAAATATGTCAAAGCCGAAACCTTCTGTAAGAATTATTCCAGTTGAGTCCAATGAGTAATTATTAGCTTTACAACTCGACAATTTGATATTCTCAATTTTGTTTCCATGGAATAAGTGTTGCTTCGTTCCATCTTCTTCAGTTTTGTATACAAAGTTTCCAGAACAACAAGCTTCAGTCAACAAAAATGGTGAAAGTGGGTCGTTTCCATCAACCACTGTTACGACTTTTAATTTGTCGATGATCCATTCCACATTCATTAAGTTGCGTTTTTCACTCACTTCCAATTCTTTAACCTTTTCAATGAAATGTGGATATTCCCGCATATCCTCCAGTTCAGCTTCAGTGTTTTCAAATTGTTCAAACAGTGGAAGTATAACAGAGAAATCGTTTTCGACGTTGTCAACATCTAAAGAATACATAAATCCCTTTTGAAATGGAAAATTGCCTTTGAGTATTCCCAAAGCAACAAGGTAGTTGGCTAAATATGCAGTTTTATACTCCGTCAGGCATATCTTCGCTTTAATTCTCTCGAAAATTTCAATTCCCTTTCGCTTTGTTTTGTCAATGGAATACACAGAGAAATCGTCTTTTTTATATCCAACAATACACTCACAAATTGTATTGATAGACACAGACTCCGTTGTTTTCTTCACCGGA